GGCTTACCTGCTGCCTTTTCATCTTGAGCAATTGGTACTGGACGGGGATTAAGACTGCGCCCCTCGCAGACCTCAACCCGGTGGTCTGGATGATACAGAAGTGAGACGCCAATGTCATCTCCCCAGAATGTCAAAGCAGCCATGTCCCATCGACGCAGCTCGAATTCCAGTGGGAAACCCCCCAATACAGTCCTCTCGCACTTCATGGTCGTAAGGAGGCGGCGCAGAATCACGACAACGAATCATGTCCACCTCCGTGCAACATAACCGGCATAGCAGGCCTCTACAGGGCCGAGAACCACTTTAACAGCTGGGATGAACCAGATTTGGGTCAACCTCTTCCATATTTGGCAGTCCATGTTGCATTTCTCGTTTCCCCACCTCAGGTTGCTGTATGGGTCGCATACTCAGTTGAGGCGTATCCAGAACTTCGGGCTACCTTGGCGCGCGCTTACGTCCGCCCTTGCGCTGGGAGATGATGCATGCAACAGCATTGATATGCTTCATTATGCCCAGCTGTCAAAATCGCCGTCGAACACTGCTTCGTTCTTCCCACTTTGCGTTGATTGTTGTACTCCAATTGCGGCGCTTAGGCCGAGAAGTATGTTCACTGATTTTCACTCCAAAGAGTCACGTTGAAGAAAAGTTGGGTCCGGTTGATTCAAACGAAATGTGTCACGACGTATCTTCGTTCACGAGCATTGCGACTACATCTAGAACAGATACAGAAGTCTTTTCTTATGACCTATATATATCTGATACGCCTGGTCACTTTGTCAAAGACTGACCTGTCCCTGTCGACTGGTGCACTGCCCTAGCCGACCCTCTCCTTCAATGTCACAACACGCACCCGATAGTCTGGCTGCTACAGAGATGGTACAGCATGGCATGCGTCGAACCAAGGAGGTATGTCCAATTTGCCAAATCTGTGTCTTGCAGACTTGATTCTAGCTCCAATGACAGTCAGGTAAATGGGAGCATTTGGCACTTGTGTTGGGTCCAACGACCCTAGTAAGTAATTATGCAAGAGAGTGGCACCCGAGGATCTTCATCAAGTGGCCCCATTTCCATGTCAATTCTGCTACCAACAGCGTTGGATGCGCCGTAAAGGCTCCTGTACCAATATCCAAGGACCAGTTAGAACCTCTTTTCAGGAACACTCTTGATGCTTAGTCCCCGTGTAAACGCTGGGCTGGTTTCTACACATCGCCGGGCTACACTCTCAACGCTTCTCCTAGCCGCGCGGTTCGCCTGGCCATCAAATAATACTTGTCTGTTAAAGAGAGCCAATCTACCGACAATACAAAACCTGATTTTCTCATAAGAACTCCCCGAAGCCCCTCGAGGTCATGTAGCTTCCTCTGCCGATGAATATGTTGACACATATCTCCCACTCGAGGCAAAGCTGTAAGGAGCTTTGTACAATTGTTGCCCTACTTATCGTCTATCTCAACATCAAGCGCTCACTTTCCAAGTTCTCTTCCTTGTCCTTATCCGCCATCATGATCGGTCTTTTGCGGCCACTAGACTTGCGGAAAGAGGGTGTGGCTTCACACGACAATACACCGGCGCCGGTATCGCCGGTATCGCCAGTATCGTCAGTATCGAGGCCTCCAGCTAGCCCTGCCGCCAATCTTCACGCCATTGTGCTCGCTTTTCGAGCCATTACAGTGCTCAAAACAGCAAGCACCTCAGCGACTACTCGAATCAGAAAGACAACCTCTATTGATGCGGACAAACACCCCGCGTTACCCCTCCCAAATGTACATCCAGGTACGTTAGGTCCAGATTGACTTCTCACAAATGCACAACATGAATGCTGATACGTAATCGAAATAAAGTGTATCAAACCGTTCCTCTTCGCCCCAATGAGTTCCGCATTCTCCATGTGGAGCCATCCGCTTCATTCTCGTCGCAAGTTGTGGCCAGGCTCTCCGTGGTTGACTACGATCCCGAATCCAAGAGAGTCTCGGCCTCTTACGACGCTCTCTCCTACAGATGGGGTGACCCCAACGACACCGTTACGATTATCGTCAACAACGCAGAGTTGAAGGTGACAAGGAATTTGTCTATTGCCCTTCAGAATCTTCGTCACAGGGACCGAGAGCTTGTCATCTGGACTGACGCTATCTGCATCAATCAGATGGACATAGAAGAGCGACAGGTCCAAGTGACTCTAATGGGGGCCATCTACTCAAAGGCAGCCTGTGTACAGATATGGCTTGGCGAGGCTGGTCACGATACCGAAGAGGGTATGAATCTCGCCAACAGCTGTGGCGGCACACGTGCAGACACCGCAGAAGTTGTGAAAAAGATATGCGCTGATGGTCGTGGGTCGACTGGATTGGCAGAGCTCCTCGAGCGGCCATACTGGAGCAGAATTTGGATGTTCCAAGAAATCCTCCTGTCAGGAAAGGCGCAGGTTCAGTGTGGGCAATTCAGCACATCCTTCGGTAACCTCAAGCACCTAGACTTGATAACCTCCAAGTCATCCCTGTGGAAAGACCGAAAGAACCCTCCACCCTGGACTATCCGACTTCGCAAAGCGTTCTTCAACACAGCACAATTTACCATCAGTCCAAAGGCTCTCAACAACCTAGAGCGTATTCTTGTTCTCACAAGACCATTACAAGCGACCGAGGCGCGTGATAAGCTCTTCGCCCTTATGGGTACGTGCGATATGGCCCCGTATCTGTCCGTCGACTACAGCAAGTCGCTCCGCGATATCTATGTCGAGTTCGCCAGGCATTACGCTCAAAAGACAGGAAGTTTAGCTTTGTTTCTCCTTGCCGGGTCTCAAAATCCAGAGGATCAAACCGATATTGGTCTTCCTTCATGGACTCCGGACTTTCGCTCTTCGACGGGGGTCGATATCTACACTGGCTACGGTATCGAAAATGCAGGTACCTTCAATGCCACCAAAGGGAAACGCTTCATGGGAGCGTACTCAAAAGAACACTCAACGGGGGATGCCGACGGGGTCTTCGTAGCCGAAGGATATCTTTTCGACACGATTCGAACCACAGTCCCAGTCTTGAAAGATGCGCGGACTCCAAAGCAATTGTTATCGGTGCTGCGATTCGGACAGCTTGAAAGTCGGCCCATGGTTTCAGGCAAGCCTCAGATCGAAGCACTGTTCGAGAGTCTCATTTTCGACACCAATGGGCACACTGAAGAGGACTCTGAAGCTCGCGCCACCACAAAGCAACATCATCGATTGAATTACATGCTTGGGTTCATGCGAGACTTGGAGACATACATGGGCAACGAGCTTCCCAGAAAGAAAGACGGCAATGTTGACTTCAACGCCCTCTTCGACTCTAAAGGAGGCAGCGATCTCCCCTACGTCACCTTCTACGAGTCAATCAAAAGGACTGATCCCTCCCAGCTCGATGTTCATTACAAAGCATTCATGAAGGAGTTTTTGTTGAAAGCAGGACGGGCGTCGAGCATGTTCGTCTCCAACGACAACAAGCTCGGTCGGTGCAGCGTCGTTGCACGATCTGGTGATGTCATTGCCTTACTTTTTGGATGTCCTTTTCCTGTGATTTTGAGGCGGAAAGAGTTAGGATTCGAGCTTGTCGGTGCTTGTTACATCAGCGGCATGATGTACGGGGAGTTAATGACCAGCAAGAGTCATGACTTGGCTGTTCAGGAGATCCCATTGATCTAAGGAAGATATCAGCAGACGAAGCTGAGCATGTATCATTATCGAGGTATTTTATCATTCGGCAGCTCATCACCCAATTGGAGTCTCGATTTCTCGCGAGATTTACTTTATCCGAATGTCAGTCTTCGTGCTTCCTTCCTACAAGCTCGCTCTATCGCTTCGTAGATCTTCATTTCAGAAGCTGTCAGTCGCATAAAAACCCATCCTGTAGTTTCACCTCGACGACTCAGTCGTCGCTGTTACGCCGGTCAATAAGTCACAATCGAAAAATTGTCTAATCCTGGCGCAAAATAAGCCTAGGACACGTTACATTCCGACCCAGTTTCGTCTTTTCCATGGTCATCTGAGTTTCCGCATTCGACCGTCGATTGGCCAACCCTGCGGTCCGAAGAGTCCAGTGACTCTAGTCAGAAGCGCTCAGCTAGAAGCGCTCAGTCAGAAGCGCTCAATACAGTTTCTTGCTTAGCGTAGAGTTTCATTCGCGCGCTTGCGACAATAACGCCGCGGCAAAAGTCCATCATCTTCCATTCCATGGAGTTGTCATGATCGTCCTTGGGGCTTCCATCTGTAATTTTATGACAGCGAAGGGCTGGTGTTGCATAAGAGACCAAGCATGTCCACATCCCCTCCTTGAGAGGATGTCCCTTGTCATATCTCCTTCCGCAGCTCATGCAACTCACGGGACCACAATACGACCTTAGTGATGCGAAATCAGAGAGCGTGTGTCCATTGACTGATAACCAAACAAAAAGCGTAAGTTGCACAGAACATACATCTTGTCACCCAGCCGTCATTTTCAAATCTTCTTGGTTAGCACTTGGACTGATAAAACAGTTCTGCTTTGGCAAACACAGCCAATGACATCCATTCGATGTGACGAGCCCATCGAAGTGGGTGTCGCTAACGATGGACGACGGACAACCGAATCAGGTCCGATTGCCTGTGACTGATGAGAGAAATTGAAATCGATTCAGCCACTGACTCGCACCAGTTTACCATGTGCTTCCTTTCAGTAGAGACGAGATCCGTGTGATCAAGCTGCAGCCCGCTACGTCACTACTGGCTCCGGTTGTTGCCGACCTCGCCGTCCTGCAGCTCGGAATTGAGCCTTCCCAGTATAATGCGTTATCATATCGCTGAACCCGACTTGCACCAAGAGTTACTGCACCTCGTGCTGAAGCAGCTTCTTGATAGGCCAGACTCAGTGAACAGGAATTTATACCAGGCTAGGAAGAGAGTCAATGACTGGAATAGGGATTTGGAAGGCTAGTTACAAGATGTTCCCAGCGTACCTGACTTAGGTAGCTAAAACAACAAAGCAGGCTCTATACTATTCGGTTTTGGGCCTGTTTCTAGAAATGTTGACGTTCACCTTCTCAATCTCTTCCCTCGCTCGATCCCACCGACTTCGCTTGCCCTTGAAGTAGCGATAGATATGTGGACTGTAGATACCACCCATGAGAAGGTTGCAGAAAGATCGATCCTTGAGCCAGTAACGCCATCCCTTCCAACCCCACCCCAAATATTCGTCAACCCCAGTTCCAGCCATCTTGTCTGCCCATGCTGACCAAGAATGGCCATTGACAAGCTGCGGGTGAACATTACTTTTCTTTGCAAGGTTACACAGCCAATCATGGTGCTCGTCAACCGCCCGCTCCATCTCGTGCTGAGGTGGAAGATCCGAGTTCCCCTTCCAGATTTGCACGACAGCCATGGATGCCAGGTCATATAGAACGAATGCCCCCGTTGCAAATGCCACGCACCCCATGAATGCGAGTGAGTCCGGGTACTTGAGAGACAGAACATTCTGATACAGACGAGGCAGCGGTTTGCCCCTAGACCCCTGGGACGCAGTCCACTTCGGGGTGGTAACAGCCGTTGGATCAGCTTCGTGATCCAACAGACTAAAGTTGGGTTTGTATCCAGTGCAGTAGATGATAGCATCTACATTCAAACTCCTTCCATCAATCAACTCAACTTCATTCGGCCCGGTTACGCAGCTGACACCTAGGACAGAGTGGACTTTGCCACTCTCAAGCGCTGGGACGATCTCGTCTGAGACGACTGGGTTGCTAGTTTTGATCGAAGGTGCTGGTGAGAGATTCCACTCAGGACGGATATTGAATGCAGAATCCTGCAGCCTTTTAACAAATCCATTGAAAAGGCGTTCAGATAGATTAGGGAAGAACCGCTCGAGGAGCCTTTGGAAAGTGATCAAGCGAATGTTAAGTGTGTGGTCAATCGGACGGCCTTTGTTGGTTCGAGGAAGCTTATGGCAGATTAGACACGGTTTTCGATAGATTGGGGTCTATGACTTACGATGAGAGCGCCTTCTCGATGAGAAACATAGATCTCGCTTGCATGGCCCACAAGTGATGTTGCAGTGTCAGCGCCGGTGTTTCCCAAGCCGAAAAGCAACACTTTCTTCCCTGCGAAGTTCTCTGGGCTAAACTGCTCATCAGCAAAGAAAGACCAGACTGAAATAGTGTGGTTGACCTTTTGTAAGATTTGGAGTGGAGCGTTTCGCCCTTGAACTGCTCAATCCCTTTGACATTCGGATAGTTCGGTGTTTGGTTCATTCCTGTCGCGATGATGACCCTGTCGAACATTTCTTTGGGCGAACCAGAAATTTCAATAATCCATTTGTTGAGAGTATCATCATGCGATACATGAGTGACAACTGTGTTGAGACGCATCATTGATCGTAGCTTGAAGTGATCGACATAGTCCTCCAGATACTGCGCCACCTCTTCGGCCGAAGGTTGACTGGTCGTCGCTTTGATTTGTGAGAGTGCTAGCTTTTAGTCCAATTGACAGACTTACCATCAGGAAACGGGAAGTCTGTGAAACACCCCTGATGAAATGTCAGTCGCATTAACTACTTCAAGTCCCAAGTCTCTCGTCTGCACATTTTAGAGAGAGAAATCTTACTCTTTCTTTTGAAATATTAACGACAGTTGCTGTAGTACGTAAGTCAACAATGATCCAAATGCAATGGCAGGCGGAGCATCGTGCTACTCACTGGGCAACACAGAAGTCTTGTCCTCTCGAGTAAACTTCCAAAGACCACCAACATAGGGGTTGCGCTCAAATCCGGTCACTTCGAAACCCTCTTCGGCAAGATTCTTCAGAGCCACAATACCAAAGGCACCTACTCTGCGTCAGAATAATCAACTCGTTTCATCGACAGGTTTACTAAACTTACCGAGTCCGATCACTGCGACTTTGTTCCTTGAAAGGTCCATTGTGACACAATTGAAGTCATTCAAAATACACAGTATTTCTCAAGCCGGGACTCACCAGGGAACCACGCGCCATATCTAGTCATTTTCTCTTTGGCGATTCTCGTGGTATGGAATGCGGGCACCTAAACTCTTGAAACCTTGAGGGCTGAAAGTCATGCCACTACTTCCGCTGTTCCGCTGTGGCGTCCACTAGCACCCAGCCAAGCGCACCTAGCAGCGAAACCACGACATAAATAAGCGAGGCGATACGAGAGCAGCGCCTGATTGGTGTTTCTGATCTCACTTCTTACTGTCAGCATTGATGGACTTCGGAAGGTAAGCCCTGCGTTTCTCGTAAGTCCGTCGTTTTATGAGCTTCTCCGAGATGCAAGTGCTCGCATGACAAGTTGGTCCGAGACCGGCCTCGCCTGCTCAAATTGCTCAGTCCAAAGTCCTTTTTTCTTTTTTCTTGTTTGAGGTTAGCGGGCTGCATGCCTTGGGTATTTGATAATAAGTCCGAAGCAGACCGTAGTCCATGAATTGTAGAAGAACATATGTTTCGATCTACATTTGTCACTCTTCACGCAAGTAGGTAATTATACAACGTAGGTATAAGCAGCTCAAGGTGAAAAGGCTTCCCATTATCTGCTGGGGCTTATACGCCCGAATTTGGTTGAGCTTGAAAAATGCTGGTATAGGACTCATTTCATTACCCGAAAACCTACATGCACTGCACATCAGCGGTGGGAGTCATTGGACGTAATTGAATACCGTCACTTGACCTCACCTCTCATGCACTTAAGAACTCTTGTTGTGCTTGGGTTAACTGCCTGTCAAGGCGAATCATCGAGCACCGAAATCTAAAGCCTTTCCCTAGCACACCAAATTTGAAGTTATTTGAGCGCTTGGGACTAGGATTCGGATCCTGTCTGAAAACATCAAGGGAATTAGATGACAATGTGCGTTTTGCAGGAGCCTATTTAGCCGGTCCTGATATGACAGCTGCGTTGAATGGCTGAAGTCTTGATTAATGTGCGCAAATCAGCTCAACATATTCGCGCTTGGCAGCTTTGGGAGGTTTAACGATCCTACCCGGATTCCTTCGTCATATACCTTAATACGGAGAAGAAACTGGGTACAACGTCTGTACAAGTAAGGTGCACTTTAAAAAGAGTGACTTTCTTGATGTGCTGCGATTCGCATCGCCGTGTCCTTCCTCGTCGCTCTATCTATTACGAAATTATCTCAAGTCGAAATGTCAGCATTTTCTTGCGTCCCCGCAACGTTTGAGAACATCTCACTGTTTGGGGCGGAGATTCTGTCTCTGCAGACAAATCTTGTCACCAACTACACCATCACTGTCCCTTCTTCTGTTCGCTTCACCCAGCCGTCAGTCGAAGTGCAGAACGGGAGCTTTTGCAACATCACGGTAACCTACACCCACCCGGGTCAAGGTGATATCGTCAATTTCGAGGCGTGGCTTCCCGCAGAAGGATGGAATGGTCGCCTTCAGGCTGTCGGAGGCGGCGGTTGGGTTGCAGGCCGCAGTGAACCGTTTTACAGCGCCATGGGTGGAGCAGTAGCTGACGGCTATGCGACGACCACGACCGACGCTGGGTTGGGAAACGCTTTGGACGCGAGTCCTTGGGCACTTCTCAGCCCCGGAAACGTCAATTTCTACAATCTGCAGAACCTTGCGTCTGTGTCACTCGACGATGGCGTAAGTCGATACACCGTCTTGGCGTAACTGACTCTTCTAATCTTGAAGCATGCAGGCAATCATCGGAAAGTCTCTCATCAGGTCCTACTACGGTCGCGGACCAGACTATTCCTACTGGAATGGCTGTTCTCAAGGAGGCCGACAAGGACTCATGCTAGCCCAGCGGTATCCTACTCAGTATGATGGCATCGCGGCCGGTGCTCCAGGGATTCAATGGACCGATTTCTTCCCGAGCATGCTCTGGCCTCAGCAGTACATGAATATGATCGGGGAGTACCCTCATGCATGTGAACTCGCGGCGATCACGGCCGCGGCAGTGTCTGCTTGTGATGGATTAGACGGTGTCAAAGACGGGATCATCAGTGAAGTCGATGCGTGCCTTGATGCATTCAATCCTTTCAAGATGGTCGGTCGAGCAATCAACTGCTCTGAGGCACCTGAAGTTAGTCGTGCAGCAGCAGCTGTAGTCAATGCTACGTGGCAGGGGATGCGCAACTCCCAAGGCGTACAGCTGTGGCCAGGACTGAACCCCGGTACTGATCTGGCTGTCGGCGTCGCTGCCACCAACTGCTCTACAGGGTCTTGCAGAGGTGTGCCATTGCCCATTGCTACGCAATGGCTTTCGTTATTTGTCGCAAGGGATCCAAATTTTGATCTTTCCCACGTCAGTCAAGCTGAGTTTGACTGGATGGCACACCAGGGGCGGCAGAGGTACAACTCGATTATTGGCACTGATGACCCTGACCTCTCTGCTTTTCGTGATGGCGGAGGAAAGCTGATTACTTTTCACGGCCTCGTAAGTCAACCCCTTATCCACCTTTGGGCAGTGAAAAGGATTGACATTCCCACAGATTGACGAGCTTCTCCCTCCAAAGGGGAGTACCAAGTACTACAAGAGAGTATCTGATCTCATCCCGGGAGTTCATGACTTCTACCGCCACTTCGAGGTACCCGGCATGGGCCATTGCGGTGGAGGGAGGAGCGGAGAGCCAACTAGTCTATTTGGTCAACTCCGTGTATGGGTCGAGAATGGCACAGCACCGGACCATACACTAGTCAGGGTTACAGTTCCGGACGGAAACGTTCAAGACCGCATATTGTGCCCATATCCGCAGAAGAGCGTTGTCGATTCGAACTGTGATAGGAATCTGGGAACACGATGCTGGTCATGCGAAGACAGTTTGTAGGTATCACTCAAGGTCATTTCTCTTGTTGGATGAATTGGCCAATCGGCCGTTCATTGTCATGGATTTGGATCCTCTAGTTCTATGTCTTTGTGGTATCATTTGCAGCACACATCCGAAATCTCAAGCGCACCCACTTAGTCGAACAAGCCATACAGCAGGTTCCCCAAGTTGTGTTACATCATTTCCTGTGGAGTGTTTGTCTAGTCACTGCAGCTGTTCGAGCAGTCGTGCTTCTCAGCGTTGTATCTGGAGTGGCATTTGCACTGAACGTCCTGGACAGGGTAGCAGCTGCCAGAAACAGAGCCACGGTGGGGGTCCGCCGCGTTGGTGTTCTTGTAGTTGACGGTGAAGGATTTTCCGAGGGATCCAAACTTGCGGTTGATGTAGAAGAGAGCATTACCCTTGCGGAGGCCGTTGTTGCAGTACTCGGCGGGCTCGTTGCGCGCCCAGTTGTCGAATTGGCCGCAGTCAACCCCGTAGTAGCCGTTCACTATGAGACGGGAAGGTCAGCGACTCGTCCAAGGAAGAAAGGTCGAATAGTGAGCATGTTAAAGACTTACTGGCACTGTCGACCAGAATCCAGGGATCAACATGGTCGTCGAAGCAAAAGTCAAGTGTGCACTGGACGCGCTGGCAATCGCAGTAGCTGAAGCCGCAGTCGCGCTTCTCCAGTTCGAAGGGGACATAGTTGGGCGAAGAGATGGCGGCCAGGATAGGAGAGGCCATCAGGCTGGCAAGAACCACGGAGAAAAGCGAAGGCATTTTGGAAAGAGTGTAAGTAACGAATGTAACGAAAGAGTGTGATGGGTTCTACAAGCCAAAGAGTGTACTGAACGGATCTGTTGATCCTCTGTTCACGAGCTGCAAAGGATCTGGGTAACAATCATCTCTTATAGATGCGTTTACGATTGCTATTATTGGACTAACAACACTTACTCGAAGGAATTTGACAAGACGGGCATACCCGACTTAGCTTGTACAACGGTTACACCGTATCAATCAGTGGCTCATCGTGGTTCATTCAGTCTCTCGGCCGATGTGATATCTCTATTAGACTTTAGGCTAAGTGCCGGTGTCCCAGTATCCGTCGGCCTGTGCGCCCACTTCATCTGCCCATATGGCCATAGCACGAATCGTGGCGGCGGAACCTCCTCCTACCCGAGCCTCGAATACTCAGTCACCTTTGCGGCTCCATGGAGCGAGTCAGGGGCCCCCAAGTCAGACTCGTCAATGTTCTGGAAATCGAGTATTTGTACTGCCTCGATTGGAGGAGGCAGTGAATATTCTCGAAACTAGACATAATCAAGATTGGTGAGTTGTGGTTCTTACCGCGTCCATGGTAGTAAGTGACTTCACAAGTCATTCACTTGATCTACCTAGTAGAGCCGGGTCCAGATCACCTTACCCACGGTTAGTGGATACCCACTCATCTACCGACATTAGAACAGAGCCATCATTCGATGGCAGGCTCAGACGAAAGTGACAAGTTAGGCGAAGGCTTCCATTTGTCTCTGAAGTTACGGATGTCGTGCGGCGTGCCGTCACCCGTCCCAAATCACAATAACCCGGCATACCGAACCCGAATCTTTAATTCGCAAAGCCTCGCTAGATGTCAAGCATAGATAAGATCGACACTTCGACTCAGTCCGAACTCCAGTTCATGTCAAACAAGGCAAGGAGTCCCCCACTCGCCCAGCCGGTTGAACGGCAGCCTCACCCACAAAAGGCCGTTGGCATTTGACAGAGGTCCGGATACGCCGGTGTTGGGGCATCGTCGAGTCATCAGGGGGCGTTTCATCTGCCGTGCATGTACGCGCGTATCCAGGCACTGGCGCGCGCACTACTGATTAATACAGAGCAGTTGGAACTGCTTCAGCTGCAAAAATTTCATCCCGAGCACATCTCTTATCCAGCTGTTCGAGAACTGTGTGGACGAAGCCTCTTGGGCAGCGTCGAAATTTTGTATTAGTGCAAGTAGAGATTGATGGCTTGTGGGTGACACAAGACTCGGGGCGTACATTTCAGTCGTAATGCGTCGTGTACGCCCTTACCTAGACTGACGGAAGCTGACGGACAGCCGGACTTAGGCAGGTGTTCCCGCGAGAGTTCAAGTGCGGTGGTTGTGTGAGTTCCCGCAATCCATATTATAAACTTCATTACACAAGTGTGATTACGTGAACTTATCCCAGCCTTCGGGTCTGCCTCAAAATGACAACTAGGAGTTGTGGAACCTAGATGTGCACAATTAGCAAGTGTGTGACACTGTTGCTTGACGTCCAGGTTCGAAAGACGCTTGTCGGATTTTTTATATAAGCCTTCAACATCTTCAGTGTGTCTTAAGCAATGGACACGAAGTTTCTCGCCAAATGGATATCACGACGTTCGAGCGCTTTGCATGCCTCTCTGGTAAGAAATACATGAACAATTGTACTGTACGGATCACTACGTAGTACAGACAAGAGATGGGACTATGGAGAACCCTGAGCAGCATAGCTATTTCCACCGGGCAGAAGCATCATGAGATCAAATTAGGTAACGGTTCCCATTCTGCGTCCTGACTGAGTAACATAAGGTGTCCACGAAAGCTAGCCACTTAAACTTTGAATCCTTCGTATTGGTTTCCGCCCTTTTCGCCGATTCATTCGAACCAGAAACTAACAAATTGTTGATGTACCGGGTTCCAATCTTGCTGTTGCCTCCTTAATCCGCGGATGCAGACTGTTTTTCCACACCGACTCGTGAATTGATTAACCCGTTCAGCTCCAACCAGGAAGGGGGAATGGGGTGTCTTCTGGCTCCGCGGGCAAGCCTGCAGTCGGCAGAGGGGTAAGCGTGACGATCCTGTCCTCTTCGGCCAGCCTGACCTCTCGGAACTTGCGCAGAGTCCAGACATTCCACACGTTTGAGTCGATGACAACACCATAAAGACCGGCAGTCGTGCCGGTCCACTTCGTGATGACCCTGAGATCGCTATCTCGGGTGCGAAGCTTGTCGACGAACTGGTCAATGTTGGTTGCCTGTTTTCGGTAGTCAGTATCAGGACGGTACACGATGGAGCTCAGTCCAGACTGAGGGTCTTACCGGGGCAAGGAAGACGATGTATCGACCAGCGAGGACACTGGCGACGTAAGAGAAGAGGGTGAGTAGGCTGAAGCGCATCTTGAAGATTATGTATTAGGTATTGGTGAGATGAATTAGGGATATTGTGATGGTCCTGAGTGCAAGTTTGCTGATGATACCTCAGGATAGATGCAACCACTGGCCATCTCGACTGCCTTTTATACTCCACCGCTCTTCCTCAACTCGATATAATCTCGAGACATTTCCTTCCGTCATGCGGGGTTTCGATCACACCTTCCGATTGCTCACCGGATGTCATCACGACGAGAAGGAATCTAGGGGCCGCCATCACAGTGTGCCAAGATCCTGCCTTGAGACATCCCCAGCCCGGTCAAAGTGCAAGCCCAGCCAGATTCATGCGCAACTTCTCCCTCATCCCAGATCAAATCTCTCACGCGAATGGACAGAACTCTCTTTTTGCCAGCAGGCGCCATCACCTTTGGGTGTCGTCGGGGTCTTGGCTTCGCGCGTTGCAGGAGATCGGCGGTGTTTGTCCCCCGTTGCGGGCACCTCCAAGACCTTGCCCTCCGGTGTCTCTGAGACTCAACTTCCATAAACGGCAACTCTGCATACCGGAACGAGCTGACATAAAATACGTTTTCGATTACTATAAGACGCAACCGCTATAATAAGACAGACTCGCTACATGTAAGTAGTACCTGAGCCCTCTCCCTTCCAAAATAGACAAACTGGTACGTGACTTACTAGTACTTGCTAGTATTGCGTCAACGGGCTCTAATTTTCTCCCATCGGCTCGGCACGCTACGCCACGGCCGCCTCATCGCATCGGCTCCCCGAGACCATCGACGGCGGCTTACCTCGGACCATGCGGTAGAGACATCTCAGAGTTTATCAAATGTCTTAGAACCGAACCTCGCGTCCCGACTTTGCGCTCTCCTTGACAGCGTGGATGATACGCAGGACATCCCGCGCCTCTCTCGCCGGCACAGGAACGTACTCCTCCCTTCCAGTCTCAACAGCCTTGGCGAATCCCTCGAAGAGCTTGAGGTACGTCTCCGGCTTGTGCGTCGGCTTCATGCGCTCCTCGACCTGGCCGCCCTCCTTGACCAGCAGCAACCTCCCGCCGTTCATGGGGTCTTCGACACCGAAACCAGGATCGGTGGGCTTCGCGCCGGCCTTCAGCTGGTCCTCCTGCGGATCGAGGCACGTCTTGTGGTAGCTGGCCTTGGTGCCGCGCACCCAGAAGCGAGGCTGGCTCGTCTCGACGCTCATGACACCGATGCGTACGCTGACGATGAGGCCATCTGGGTAGCAGAGCTGCGCGTGCACGCTGTCGGGGTCTTCGGGGTCGAACTTGCCGTCGCGTTGGCTGACGAGCTTACCGTAGACAGTCTCTGGCATGCCAAAGAGGTTGTAGGCCTGGTCAATGAGGTGGGATCCCAGGTCAAAGAGGGCGCCGCCTCCCTCGGCCATGGTCAGCTCGCCCTTCCATGACGTAGGACGGTCAGCGCGGAAGCGGTCAAAGTGGGTGTCGAATTCGTAGACACGGCCGAAGACGCCATCGGCAATCATCTTCTTGACCGTGAGGAAGTCACTGTCCCAGCGACGGTTCTGGTAGACGCAGATGAGGCGCTCATTCTCCCTAGCGATCTGGATGAGTTCCTCGGCCTCCTCGATGGTGGGCACGAAGGGCTTCTCGACTAGAACGTGCTTGCCGGCCTGCAGGGCCTGCTTGGAGAAGCTGAAGTGAGTGTTGGGTGGTGTGAGGATGTTGATGATGTCAACATCGGGGTCCTGAAGCATGGGCTCCAGGGAGGTGTGGTGCTTCAGCTCAGGGTAGTCATTTGGTGCTGAGGAGGAGGCTGTGGGCTTCCGTTGGACGATGCTGTGCAACTTGAACTGAGGTGTGAGGTTGATGAAAGGGATGTGGAAGACCTTGGCGGATAGTCTGTGGATGGTCGGTCAGCACGTGGGCGTCTTCGGTGAGTCGCGCCGAGAGTGAGTCTATTCCGAAAGCATGCAAGGGGGGTCTGTAGCAAGGATGACATGGACTGAGAGACGGTCTCACTTACCCATATCCAATGATTCCAACGTTGAATGTCTTGCCTGCTGCCATCTTGTCTCTTGTGGGTTCTTATTACACTTTATAATGAGTCCGAGAAACTGTGAGCTTTCTTCGTATGACAGACTTAAACAAAATGTCGTGAGCTTGACAGCTTTATATAGCTATCGTCGAGCTGGATCACTTTAGCATGAAAGGCGATGAGGGGCACGAGGGGGCAATCGTGGAGGGAACTGGAGCTTTGGTGGAGTGACGGGCCAAGATTACCCCATTGCGTCACTAAGGAAGGACTCGGCGCTTTTCTCAATGGACGACGGAGAAAATTGCCCCATTTTCGGCGCGTCTGTCAGGTCACGGACGGCGACGCTAACGCCCACTTTGACACACCGGGTTTACCGGCCGTGAAGGACTGTTAGAGTTGCCTAAATAGGTCACCTTGGGGTTTCGAAGAGCTGCCCCTCTTCACCGAGGCAGAGCCTATTAGATGTGTTCTTCGTTCATTTTCATATAGTGACTTGACTCAACATAGCCTCGGTAAGACCAAAGAATCTATCGGATTAGAAGTCCAATTCGACCGCGGCATATAAATAACTACGCAGGGGCCAATTAGGGGCCCTAT